CTTTCCCTCCCAAACAATGTTTTTGAGTTCAAAAATAAATTTAAGGAACGCTTAACCCAGTAGAAGCCACCACGTGCAACGGTGACATTCTGCTCAGGATCCACGGGTCACCCCTCACCACCACTTCCCCGTTGTAACCTCAGGCAGGAGTGGTGCAAGGCACGGCTGTGCATCTGGCACAGGGGCTTGCGTCGCACGAGAACAGTCAGAGGCTGCACAGTATTTAGGAAGTCAATAATCACTTATAAACTCGGAAGTTAATAATGAAATTTAAACTCAAATTTAATTTCACTTTCAATCAAGCCGTGTCAAATCTAGCTAAGGATCATGTGACAGGCAGTCAGGCAGACCTGCTGCTCCGCACCTCTTCATTTTGCTTTCTTACCAACTCCTGATGAATAGCATTTTTTTTTTGTTTTGCATAAAGGTAGGGTGAGTGTGCTCAAAAGAAAATATTTACATTCCTAAAAGCCCTGCTTATGAATAATGCATCAATACCAATAAAAACTGCAATTATACAGCATTTGCACCACCAAGTATGTGATGTTGTGTTGGGCAGAAAAATGTTTTGCCTTCCTGATGCATAGCTTGTTTTCTAAGTCCTTTTTTGGCTTTCTCTGTGACTAGGGGAAGGAGGCTGGGGATCCTACAGAAACTGGAAAATCTTTCAGGTTCACGTTGGCATGTATAAATCACATGCTTGAACCTGAGCATGAACCCCAGAAAAGAATTTTCCCCCAGGCCAGATTGGTGGGCATCCCTACTTGCGTTTTGGTTTCGGTTTGCTTGTTCCTATAATGTGGGTCATAACTAGCTTCGTAGGACTGTCTGAACCATTTTGCTCATTTATTTTTGCCTTCTCTTCCTTTGGTACCCTGTATTTTAGATGGTTTTCAGTCTATCGTACTAAACGTATTAAATGGAGTGATGGCGAGCATTTTGTGTGTTACGGCTAGATAAGCATATGAGACGGACATTCATTAAACTCCTCCTATCAGAAATGTCTGTAGCTTGACTGTGTTTCCTGGGCACCGAACTGCCTCGTACATGTCTCCCCTACCTCCTCCACAAAGGGTTACTTTCTTATAAGAACCTTCTAAAAAGCTAACTCTTAATGTTAAGAGTACCCTGTGGAGGTGACTTTTAAATTTCAGAGAAACCAGTTCATTGCCCCCACTCTTCAGGTTACCATTTTAAAACAAAAGATGCAACGTCTTTCTTTCTTCTAGGTAGGATTTAATCATAGTCCCTGTTACATCTTTATTGCTCCTGTTCCAGAGGAGAGGCCATTTTTACACACAACTTGTGATGGGGTTTTTGCACCGAAATGTATTTTTCCTAAGGTTGAAAG